TTTTCATTTTTAAATGCATTCTAACTCATTGTGTCATCACAGGTGACATTTGTGTTTAATTCTTTTCTCCTGTAACCTTCATCAAAGTGAACAATTACTCAGTTATTTAAAGAAAAAAAAAGCTTTTACTGTTTCACTGTTTTTAAAGTGTTTTTAATGCAACGTTTCCAAACTTAATGATCACAAAAATGACCAAAATAAGTGATTGTTTTTCCCACGATCAAACAGTTTTAGCTGTTTTCTGCCTCTGATCTCACAGAGATGCTGCCCACCTCACCGATGTGGGGGGCGGATGCCCCCTGATGCGCCTGGAGTGCTGGTCCTGCAGCCCAGTGAGGAGGAAAGGCTGCAGAGGAGACCAGTCTGCCCTGAACCACCCTGCCTACAGCTGTGGTCACGCTCGCTGCTCCCTGCTCACCCCTGATGCTGCAGCGTGGGGCGAGACCAGCGACTCGGGTCAGGGCACCTTCAGCCAGCCCACAGGGAAGTGCCTCAGTGAGCTGGATCCAAACCACTGCCTGGAGGAGACGGACCCTGATGACACCTCGGCCTTCGACTACTCCTCCGTCACCTCGGGCAGCCCTGATGGCGCCCTGCACAGGATGCACAGCAACAGTGGGGAGGATGAAGACAGCCAGGTGCCAGTGCTGCTGAAGCCCAAAGAGAGGACTGTGTGCCTGAGGTGGCAGATCCCCAGATTAACCCCCCACCCTCCTTCCAGGACCCCCACAGGGCCACATGTGGAGGCACCGAGTCTCGTCAGCTCCTTTGGGAAGAGATTAATCAGCGTCAGGAAAGGCTCGCCTCCGCTCCATCTGAAAAGTGCCTTCAGGCCCATTTGGGACAATCCATCAAAGCAGGTAAAATTAAAGGCCTTGAAGATCTGCATGTTGCCCACCACTGCTTCTGCCAGGATTTCAGATTAAAATAATCTGATGTGGAGAAATGACAGAGCTGTCATCAAACCTTCAACATGGGCTAATGTCATGCTGCTCTCAGCTACACACCAAACATCAGCTCAATGTTTATGGAGCTGATTTAGGGTCATAAGTTTTGTTCAAAATAAAAAAATTGAAACTGAAAAAATATTTTGAAACTGAAAAAAATATTTTGAAACTGAAAAAAATATTTTGAAACTGAAAAAAATATTTTGAANAAAAAATATTTTGAAACTGAAAAAAATATTTTGAAACTGAAAAAACTTGAAACTGAAAATTAATTTTGAAACTGAAAAATAATTTTGAAACTGAAAAAATATTTGAAACTGAAAAGACAAGATGTTTGAAACTTTTCCAGATTGTTTCCATTGTTTTTCAGTTTCAAATATTTTTTCAGTTTCAAATATATATTTTTTCAGTTTGAGAGAAAAATGGTGACGTGTTCAATACTAAACATAAAAACAACATTTTAATAACAGCTAAAGGTGACATATAGATACTTTATTATGGTATAGTATTTAAATAAATGCCTGAGAAACACATAATATTGACCCTTTAACTACTGGACAGATCACTACACCCACAGCTGGGATCACTTCAGTTGGCTGACACAGCTAACCAACTTTATCCAACACAAAACAGCTCCAACTCAGTTTTAAACACTGAGCTAACCTGGAGTGATYGCAGCTGAGTCATTCCCAACACACACTCTGAGGGCTAACAGATGAACATAAAGTCACTGAAAAGGTTTGAACAAAACACAAACAACTGCATCATTTCTACACGACGATTTCAKTCTGAAACTCTGGCATGAAAAGCAGCGGGCGATGCTCAGACATTATTTGATAAGTGATATTTTTAACAGTTGCACATTTAAAACATCAATATTTTTGCACTTGGTGCCACAGTTCACCATGTTTTTAAGACTCATTTAATTTTTATTTAATTCCTTCAAGCAGGAAACTGATTCAGCTCCAGAAAAGGACGTCAGACAAGCGTTCATACCAGTTCCTGCTGCTGGGAGGAGTTTCAATGCTTTCATTCCCAGCAAGGAAAATCTGAGGTAAGGTTTTTTCTTTTAATCTCATTTGGGACGTGAACTTTAGAGCAAGTTCTGTGGAAATCAGCAGCTGAGTGAGATTAGTGGTTATTATTTCTTCTCTGGCTCTTCAGACCGACGCTGACTCAGCATGAAACGAACAACACAGCAGCAACAAGCAGCGGCACCCTGTGGGACAGTGAGGACAGCGAGGGACCCTGCAGCACTGTTTGACTCTTACTGTCCTCCCAGGAAGAGGAGGAAAATTAGAAATTGGAACAAAAATTAAGATTTACAGTAAAACCAACTCATAACCCTAATTCTGAAAGAGTCGGGGCCTTGTGTCAATCGTAAACAACAAAATAATCTGATAAACTCACGTTTTATTCATGATGGAACGAAGAGAGCACAGCTGTCATTCAAAATCAGAAACTACTTGATTTGGTAAAAATATAAAGTCATTTTGAATTTTTTGGCAGTAAATTTAAGAAAAATTCTCAAACTAAAGGATGTTTAAAAAGAGCTGCATAAACAAACATCTGCAGGAACATTTTGTAAATAATCATAATTATCAACAGGTCAGTAAAAAGATGGGAGAGAAAGAATCTCTTAGAATAAACTGACCTGCCTGAAGTCCAGGGCCYGTATTTATMAAACTTCTCAGAGTGGATTTTTAGACTTAAGTGCTGAAAATGTCTTAGATTAACTCCTACTCTCAGACTTAAGTGTGTCAGTTATCAAAATTCTTAAGTCTAAGAATCACTCTTAGTCTCAAGAAAAGTTCAGACTGCTCCAGAGGACTCTGAAGTGGTTCAGAGTTGACCCTTGGTGTCTGAGATGAACTGAAGACAGAGATTACTCCTCTCAGACCAAGCCGGTAATGACGGAGTGGGTTGTGTGCACATTGTGTGTCTGTGTGTGTGTGTGTCTGTGTGTAAGGCCGGTGTTGTCTGCAGACAGTGGTGAAGAGGAGAAGGGAGCAAAATCACATCTCTAGTGTTCGTGTTGAGGTAAAAGAAAAATGCAGATTTAAAGGAAGAAGTGTGTGTGTCTCACATTGTGTGTCTGTGTGTGTGTGTGTCTGTGTGTAAGGCCGGTGTTGTCTGCAGACAGTGGTGAAGAGGAGAAGGGAGCAGCTCAACATGACCTCAGGCTCTGAGACATAAAACAACTTCAAAGCTGCTGAGTTTTTGATTTAAAAGATTTGTGAGATTTTCTTCTGTTTTCATGATGCAAATGAGGACATTTGATGTAATTTACAGACAATCAGTACAAGGTGACAACATTAATGTGATGAAAGTGAACTTATGTTAAGATTTTCACAGTTTTATCTTGACATTTCTCCAACAATATGCTTGAACATGAAATCCGAGGCA